TCCCATTTTTTTCTATTCGCTCTAAAGATCTTACAAAATGTCCATCCTCTCTCTGACGTCACCAAATTATGGCAACAATTATTCCCGTGACGTCACTGATGCGAGCCCCATGACGGGTCACGCGCCTTAGCAACACGCGCTGCCGCTTAGCGTTGGCGACGGAGAACCAAATGGCGGGTTTTGACGAGGCAGAAAATTGGTCGTTTTTTTGGTTTTGGTTAGGAGAGTTTGTTTCTCCGAGCTTTTCGATCGCTTTACGCTCTCTCTCTCTCTCTCTCTCTCTCTCTCCTCGTCACGCACGATATGCGACACATATGTAAAAAAAATGCATTTCTATATGTATGGTTACATAGATAAAAAGATAAATATTTATATATGTATATATAATATTAATATTATATATTTATATTATATATATTATTACACACATATATACATATTATTATGTAATGTGATATACGTATATGTATATATAATGTATAATATATATATATATATATATAGTATATATATATATATATGTAGTGTATGTATTGTATATATATATATATATATATTATATATTATATATACTCTGTACACACAGATATATACATCTTTATATTCTACATAAACATCCAAAACAGCATACACAAGCACAACAGTTAAAAGTGATAGGAGGGATGGGGGGGGGAGGGGATACAGTCTGCGCAAGAAACCAGAATAAAAATGGCGCCGATCAACAGCGCCTAATGTCTGCAGACATGATTTTCCCGGTCTCCTGCGGCCGGGAGCGTCGCGTGACCGCTCGCGTCGTTGCTTATCGCGCAATGAGGGTCGGGCGGGGATGCGGGGACGCGGCGGGAGGGGACGGTGATCGGTTTGGGGTCCCGTCGTGTTTTTTTTTTTTTTTTGAGGTTGGGGGTGGTGGTTATGGTGGGTTGTGGGTTTGGTGAGGTTTGTGGGGTAGGATGTGTGGTTGGGTGTTTGGGTTTGTTTTTTTTTGGTGTGTTGGATGTGCTTGTTTGCTTGTTTTTTTTTTTACCTTTCTGTTTATTTTTTATTTTTTTGATTCTTTATGTTTTACCTTTTGTTTTGTTTATTTTTTTCTTTTTGTTTGCTTATTTTTCACCTTTTTTGTTTATTTTTTACCTTTTTGTTTGTTTATTTTTGCCTTTTGTTTTTTTTTTTTATTTTTCTTTTGTTTATTTTTATCTTTTTAACTTTTTTGTTTCTTTGTTTTTTACATTTGTTTGTCTATTGACGTTTGTTTATTGTTTACTTTGTTACTTGTTTATTTATTGACTTATTGTATATCTTATTTTTTTTTGCATATTTGTTTGCTTATCGACATATTTGTTTGTTAATAGACATTTGTTTATTTTATTTGATTATTTTTAGACATTTACATGTTCATTAATTTATTGGTTTGGTTATTGACTTCTTTCTTTCCTTATTGGTTTATTTAATTGAATGAATTTTGAAAAATGAGTCTTAAGATTAAACGGGATATTTCCTCAGTTTTGATGTTTTTGTGAAGATTAACGGAATTCAGTGTAATCTTGAGAGAATTCAAATATGACATTATTCAATTTCAAAAATATGTTTAATTTTCTTTCGATTAAGAGAATGTCAATGAAATATCCGACAATTCAGTAACATTGTTTAGAAAGAAAAAAGAATTAAATTCATAGCCTCAAGTATTTGTTTCCGCGAAGCCTTAAACACTTAGACATCTTAACGGTGACTAAAGAATTTTTTTTTTTCATAAATTCCCAAACCACTTCAGCGATAATCCCCCCCCCAAAAAAAAAAAAAAAAAATGATAATAAAAAAGAAAGAAAGAATAATAAGAAATAATAATTAAAAAATAAAAAAACCAGGATATTGTTCACGAACCAGGGGGCTAACAGGCGCAAGGGTCTGCATTGAACGGTTCATGGTGGTGTTTTGCATGCTTTTTTGGGCGGCCAACGGGGGAAATGGGCGGTGTGGGGGGGGATTGGGTGTTGGGGGTGAGGGGATGTGTGGGTGGGGTGGGGGTGAGAGGTTCTTGGAGGTCGCTAAGGTGTGGAAGTGTGTCTTATTTACGTACGTAAGAGATTCATGCTAGGATTTGTATGTAGAACATTTGTTGTAGTTCATAGAAGACGTATATGTATATTTATACATACATAATTGCATGTAATATGGTGTATATGATATCAGTATATATATATTATATATATATATATATATATATAGTAGTATATTAGTTATATAGTTTATATATGGTATGGTATGTCATGAACTGTATACTATGTATGATATATGTGTTAGCTATATATATTCGATATAAATATTAATCTTACAAATAACTAAATCTACACAATACATACACACCTACATGACGAACAGCACAAATCCTCATACCCCCCTCCCCTCCCCTCCCCTCTTTCCCTTCTCCTCCCACCCCTCACCACAACAAACCAAAATAAAAAGAAGAAAAAAAAGAGAAATCGCAAACGAATCTACCCCCCCCTCCCCCAAACCCCCCCCGCCAAAAAAAAAAATGCAAACGAACTCCTAACCCCCCTTTCTCCCTCTCTCCCCCCGACAGGAAGACGTGCAGAGCTGCAAGTGTACAGGGGCTCCACGACGTCTACCACGACGGACTGGCACGTCAACGTGCGGGAGCGGCTGGGGCTCGGCGATTCCCTAGGGTCAGTGCCAGGCTTTAGGGGGTCAGGCGCTGAACTTGGTGGTGGAAATCAGAGTGTTGTGTGTCAGTGTATGTGTGTGTGTTGTGTGTGTGTTCCTCTCTCTTTACTGTGTCGTGTGTGTGTGTAGTGTGTGTGTGTCTGTTCTTGTTGTCTGTGTGTGTGTGTCTCTGTATTTGTCTGCTATGTTCTTGTTCTCGTTCTGGTCTGTCTGTTATGTACTTGTATGTATGTTCTACTATTATGCTCATTGCCTTTATGTATGCTCTGTGTTTGCTCGTGTGTGTGTTGTGTGTGTCGCTGTGTGTCATGCTATCGTCATGATAATTACTGTTTATCGTATTGTATGTATGTTGTATGTATGTATGTATATCATGATATGTGTTCATTATGTACTGTCTTGTATCGTTACCTGTATTGTGCTCGATCATGTAGTGTGTGTGTGTGTGTGTGTGTGTATGTGTTGTGTGTGTGTTGTGTGTGTGTTGTGTGTGTCCTGTATGTCTGTCTGTCTGTCTGTCTTGTACTGTATGTTATGTATGTATATATGTATTGTATGTATGTCATGTTGTGTGTGTGTCTGTGTTCGTGTGTGTGTGTGGCTGTGTGTGTGTCTCCTGTTGTGTGGCTCGCTGGTGTGTCTGTATGTCTGTATTATGTATGTCCTATGTATGATATGATATATG